CCATTTCTTCATATGGGAGAAGCACTGAGTTCGGTTCCAAAGTCCTCGTTTGGCACACCGACGCTGTCCTTTAGCAAAGTCCACGCCGAGGAGGACCACGCCGTTGGTGGCGTGACGAGAAAAACTGCCGAGAAGGTTGGCGATCTTCTGCGCGCGAACGACGCTGCCAGCAGTGTGCGTCCTGGTCGGGTTGAGAGCCCGCCCGCAATCCCTAAACGGCGCGAATACGAAAGCCGTGGCACGGGCAGGCAATGTTCGCCAGGACCTGCTGCTCAGCCCAAATCCGCCGATCCGGCGTGTGAGTTTCAAAGACCCTGAGATATAGCCTGAGCCTCAGTTCTTGAGCTTCAGCTCTGCTGGGGGGTGGGTGCCGGGGTGGCTCTGCCGGGGCAAAAGGGGGGGTCCGAGTCAGTTTTGGTGGCAAAGCCAGAGCTCCAGCTCACTCCGGGTCGGCCCCTCGCCCTGGAGAGCTCGAACGCGGGCTCATATATCTGTCTAAAATCTCTTGTTTATAGAAGGCCCTGAGTGGCCGAAACATCGCTCCAAGACGCTCAATATGTTCCTCAGACAGCTTCAGAAGCCTCCAACGCACCCTCCCGACACCTCCTAAGAGTGCCCAAAGACGGAAAATCTGTCCCATTCCCGCAGGAAAACGTGCAATATGCATTTTCGCTTTTTCGGCCTCCGCAGTGTCCAACACGACCCAAGAGACCCCCAAAACAGGCCCAGAGGCTCTCAAGAGGGCCCCAAGTCGGCATGGGAGGCCCCCAAGACAGCCCAAGCGGGCCCCAGGACGGGCCCAAGAAGCGCCCAAGAGGGCTCCATGACGGCCCCCGAAGGGCCCAAGGCGGCCCAAGAGGCGCCCAGGCGGCACCAAAATGGCCCTGGGAGCCCCCAAGAAATCCCGAGAGGCTCCAAGTGGCCCTCAAGAGGCCCCCAAAAGGCGCCCAAAAGCGCTCCCGCAGGCTTAGAATTACCTCCCACGCACCCCCAGGAGGCCTCCAGGACGCCTCCTGCACGCCCCCCAAAAAGCCCAAAAGGCTCCCAAGAGGCTCAACAATCACCTCCAAGACGCCCCCCCAGGAGGCCTCGAAGATGCGTCGTAGAGGCCCCTCAAGAAGCCCACGCAATGCCTCCAAGCTGTTTCCAAACCACTCACGTTTGAACAAGCGCGCTGGGGCGAGAGCGCCCTTCCGACAGCGGGGTCGCCCCAGATCGGCGGCACCGGCCGGAGGCCTCTACAATAGTGGCAAGGCTGTCGTCGCCCATATTGAACGAGAGCTCCACGTCGGAGCTAAGGTCGAAGGTCGAAGGTAAGAGGCCGGCGCGCGCCGGAGCGCGCCATGCTCGGGCTTCCGGGCGACATGCCCACGAGCTGACGACGTCGGGCTTCTCGCAAATTGTCTCGCCAATGTCTCCCGATATTTTTAAACGCTGACGGCATATGCGTCTTTCCAGAATTATTGGCTGCCGACGCCATCTGCCCAGCGCATCAGAAGCCGCCCTGGCGCCAGGCAACCCCCGGGAGCCCAATTCAACACTGCCCCCGACCATCTGCCATCCGCGCTGCCGATGGTCTTCTTTTGCAGCAGAATGGCTTTGCGATGCTGTTGAGATTGCACCCACGTCTGGAACCCTGCCTTCCCGTACTCTCCCGCGGCCTTCCTGGTTGCACGTCGCATCCAATCCACGGGCGGTCCGACCACCCCCCCCCATGGAGGCTGCTCTCATCGGTGGCGCTGCAAAAATATTACGAGGCATTTTCCGCAATTTCGCCCGGGGCGCAAGTTCGCAAGCCGCCGCCATGTCCCGCACGCCGCCCCCATGCAAAACAATCGATAACAGGGCCGGAAAGGCGAAGCAGGGAGCGCAACATAACATACACATTACAAAGCACAACCTTGAACTCTCCCAAAGCCCCCCAACCCACGGCAACGCGGCCCTGCATTTCTACGCCGCGAAGACCCTGAGAACACAATTTTCATTCCAGGTAAGAAACGCTTCCGTCCACGGGGAGCACCTCAAAAACGCAATTCCCGACTTGCACGCGAGACTGCGACAGGACACCGCGTCTGTCGGCAATGTTTGAAGCGATTTTCGCCCTCCCCGCGTGCAGCTTCAGCCCAGCTTCGCCAGCGCGCCTCGCCAGGTCTTCCAACGTGCGCCGCGCGCGCGGCCCCAATCGGCATAATGTCACCCACGAACCGCGGGTCCGTGAGACGTCTGGCCCCCACCTTCACTCCGTACCCTTTCTTCTCTCATCCCTGCTTGAAATCCAACGCGATTGATTCTGGCGCATTGACCAGCGCGGGGCTCATGGATCCCACTGCTTGGTACCCCTCTCCAATCTGAAAATGCGGCTCGCACGATCGGACAGGATCTGCCCTGTCTGCTCCCCGTACAGTGCGCACAAAACCATTATAGGAATCAGGGGCGCCGCACTCGCTCAGGGATTTCTACTCTGGCGGCCGCGGCTGACAGAATCGAAAGCTTTCTCGACATCCACATCAGCCAACCAGAGATCGACATCGCGCTCGCGCATCTTTCCGCGCAGCAAGATCAAGTTAACGAACGGTCGTCGCAACTGTTGCGTTTGCGACATCCCTCTTGGCCCACCGACTGCGATTTGCAATGCGCGGCAACAATCGCCCGCGCAACGCCATGCTGAACAGCTTGTACAAGATAGGAGAAATCGAGATAGGTCGATAAATGCCCGGCAACTTGGAGTCTCCTTTGCTAAAAGCACTTTGATGCGCGTGCGCCCCGAAGTCTGCGGAGGCGCGCCTCCATCTGCCATCAAACTTGCGAAGGCGCGGGCTACCGATTCAAACGAATTGTCGCCCACTTCCTTTTAACGCGTCTGCGACTACGCAGACCGACGCCACACCACTTTCCTTAATATCCAGATCCAGCAAACATGCGGCCACGGCTTGTCTCGCAGTACTCCCTCGCATTAGTCCGCAAAAATTCGATCAACCGTAAAATGTCCCACGGCGCGCCATCAAGCTCCCCGAACAACTCCCCCGCCGGGTCTTCGCCTGCAGGGCTTCGCACGTTTCAACGGCTTGCGTTCAAACGACGCGGCGCACCTGAGTTCTCGCCCGTCTCGTCTCCCAGCCGCGCGCTTACGCCGCGCAGCGCAGCGAAAGGAAAGTCGCCACATACTGCATTGAATTTCCCGCGCCCTCATCCACAAGAGCGCCCCCGAATCTGGTGCCGAACCAGGGTCTCCAGCTGCTGCGATCTACAATTTATGAGCGCCCCACCGGTTGCGTTGCAAATTGTCATTCGGAGCCCTCTTCCTCCTCATTTCCTCCATGCACTCTTCGACCGAATCCTCCACCTGCACCCCTTCCCTCACGGGCCTCCTGGTTCCGCCCTCCACCTAGGCCACGCGGTTGCAAGTCGATTCGACAGCTGTGTTCTTTGACTTGAGAGTGATGTCCTCCCTCTAGTGGCCCTTGTCCTCAGAGTGCTCGTGGTCCATAATTTATAAGCGTTTGTCCTCCACTCTCTTCTAGAATTCGCCATTGCATTTGAATAGCATGTCAGCTCCAGTGAACAATGTGTTCACAAATCTATTCATCTTCGTCGATAAACCGATGTTGGCTGGCGCTGTCTTGACTTGCACAACGCCGATGTTAGACTGGTCGCTGAAAACAGAAATCGCGGAAGGGACGGAGGAGGAAGAGGGGAAAGGAGGAGGAGGAAGGAGAAGGAAAATAAATACTGACCAGGGTAACATCGCCACCGCCCACACGAGCCTGATCCGCCCATGCCGCAGCTTCGGGCGAGTGGCAATTGAAGAGGGCGACGGGAAGAGGGCCACTGAGACGACAGCGCCACGCGCTACGCGGTGTTCCAGCGCTCTGCGATATCACAGCGGCGCGCGCTGAATCACGGGACTCGCCACGCGCAACGTGGGCGAGCCGACGTTCATATTTGACTGGTCGCCGCCCATTGCAAGCATCGCCGCCCGCGCCCCCACAGCAGCAGACAGTGCACACGCGCGCCTAGAATCCGCCGGCGGCTGCCTTCACTTCAGTCTCGCAAGAAGATGCCAAGGCCGAGTTCGCGCACCAACTTTGTGGAGTGTTTCCTGCAATTCCCAACGCGAGCAACGAATGTCCGAAGGCGAGCGGGCAGGTCCGCAGACGTCTCCTGGGACAAGAAGTCCAAGCCTGGGGCGCGGAGAATGAGATTGTCAGACGTCGTCATAGAGAGCATACAGGTGCAGCCAAGGGCGTCCGAGTCGTCAGCGGTCTTGCGCCCGGCGTCGGCGATGACGCCCTCGTGCATGGTCTGGCCCTGGTATGCCGTCGACGCAAACACCTTGAGGTAAAAGAATTGCAGGTATGCCTGCGCGACCGCGCGCAATGCCTTGCCACTGGAGTATTCGGCGAAGATCCGTGCAAGGCGCGTGCTGGAACCGGCGGGGTGGCACTGCGCGGCACCTTGCCACTGTGACCTTCGGTGGAATTCTTTGCGGGGCTACAGGAAGTGCGAGAGGGCTGGAATGGGCGGAGGGGCGCCGTGAGGCACCTTGCCGCTGATGCATTCGATGGAGTTTCGTGTGGGGCCTCGGGACGACATTGTGCTTGAGGATATCGGCACTGTCACAACTTCCTTTGGTTCCTGCCCTAAGTGCCCACAAAAGGTGGCGGCACTTGCGCAATTTGCAGCCCCCCAGGGAGCCGCGAGGTCTAGTTTGGAAGTGTGGAAGACGCCACTCCGCGGGACCTCCCAAGAGCCCACGAAAGGGACGACAGTTGCGCAGGTGTTCGAGTCTGGATGTGCGTAAGACGCCACCCCGCGGGACTTCCCAGGAACCCACACAAGTGGTGACGCGCAGCACCCTCCCAGGGAGCCGCGAGGTCTACTAGTCTGGATGCGCGTAAAACGCCAATCTGCGATACCTTCCAGGAGCCCACAAAAGTGGCGATTGTTGCGCAGGTGGCAGCCCCCTGGTAGGAAAAGTTGTAAGCAGGATACTGGGAGTT